GTTACAAGATATTACTTTTGAAGTAACACTGTTTTGATAAATTTGTTCAATTGACCAGTAAGATGCAATACTACCATATTTAACTAACCCCATCCAAATTAGAAGACCAAACAATTGTCTTGTCGAAACCCATTGTTTCAAGCGACTCGATCGTGAAATATGTGCTGTTTTCATGTTTTCACTATGTTCAAGTGAAGAAAAGAGGATGCATAAAAGAAAAAAATGAAACCACTTAAATAAGGAACTTAAATTTATAGAAAACCTCAACAGAGAAAAAGAATTCACAGCATTCTATAAGAAAGTTAACATCAACAGAAAAGAATTCAAGGTGACCACAAGTTAATGCAGAAGTCAGAATGACAACCTGTTAACAAAAAGGAAAGATATATCGAATAAATGGGTATAAAATGGGGGTAAAACCTGGACGACGAAATATATAAGGTAAGGGGAACAGACGGGAGCAAAGAGGAACCACCAACGATTTTTAAAAAAACTAGTCAGAAACAAATCACTCAAAATAGATAATCTCTCAGCTAAACTATATAACGGACGTGGCCATAATACTATAATGGCATTACAGCAATTTATAAAAGAAATAAGGACACAGAAATTCCTACCCAATGATTGTAATATTGAAATGCTTTACACCATACATATAAAGTAGATAGGTTTGAATGCTCTAACCATAGAGGAATAACGCTCCTTAATGCAGCGTACAAAATATTTTGCACAGTACTATGTTACCGTATGGCACCATATTCAGAACGATTAATAGGAAAATACCAGGCTGATTTCAGAGGTGGTAAATCGATAATTCATCAGATTACAACCCTGAGACAATTTTAGGAAAAAAACACTGGAATATGATATAGATACTCATGTTCATACATAGATCACATGTTTATAGACTTCAAAGCAGCCTATGACTCTGTGAATAGAAAAGAAATGTTCAAAGAAATTAAAGAGCTAGGAATACCTAATTAGTTGGTAAATTTAACAAAACTAACTCTTGAAAAAGGTGAATGTAGAGTAAAAATTCAAGGGGGACTGTCTGCAACTTTTAAAACAAATGGCGGGCTGTGTCAGGTAGACCCTTTCTCTTCCCCTATTTAGCACAAGTGACCATTTACTAAGTATGAAAATACTTATAGAACGAGCAAATGAATACCACATTCCTCTATATATGGCGTTCATAGATTTCGAAAACCACAGTTAAAGTATATGAAGAAACAAAATCATTACAAATAAGTAGAGGCGTGAGACAGGGTGATACAATATCACCGAAACTTTTCAATCAGGCTCTTGAAGATACTTTTAAAGGATTAGAATGGGAAAAAAAGGTATAAAAATTTGTGGACAACGCTTGAACCATCTAAGGTACGCTGATGACATCGTATTGATAACCGATAAAAAAGAAGAATTATTTGAAATGATGAAAGAACTGGACGTAGAAGCTGGAAAGATAGGCCTTAATATATGAATTACAGCAAGACCAAAACTATAACAAATACAGATGAAGACAACACAGTGAGAATCGGACAAGATGAAATAGAACAAGTTAAGGATTATATATATATATATATATATATATATATATAATATATATATATATATCATGGTCAAACTATAAAACTTAACAAAGAGAACCAAACAGCAGCGATCAAGAGACGAGTAAGAGTGGCATGGGCGGCATTTGGCAAAATAAGCTACATTCTTAAAAACAAAAGATATCCACAGCATCTTAAGACCAAAGTATATAATCAATGCGTACTCCCTGTTCTTACTTATGGTTCCCTTACATGGACATCAACAACAGCAAACATGGACAAAATCATAAAAACCCAAAGAGCAATCGAAAGACAAATGTTGCACATAAGACTAATGGATAAGAAGAGAAACGAGTGGGTAAGATAGAAAACGAAAGTGAGGGATGTTAGACAAGAAGTTGCAAAATTGAAATGGAGATTTGCCGGAAACAATATAAGACAAAAAGAAGACCGATGAAACAAAATTCTTATAAGTTGGAGACCGTGAGAATATAAACAAAGCAGAGGAAGGCCCCAAATGAGATGGGCAAATGATATCAAGAAGCACGTGGGCTCTAGATGGATGACTGTAGCGACAGACAGAGAAGAATGGAAAAGGATTGGGGAGGCCTATGTCCAAAGATGGACCGAAGAAGGCTAATTAGATAGATAGAAAACGAAGTATATGACAATAAGCATGCAACTACAAATCCTGCGAATACTTGCTACAGAAACGAAATTATGCCTAAACAAGCCTTTGCTTATTTATAAATATACTGCTTTCTCATAACAAATAAATAATGGCTTTCTTTATTTACCGATTTTTGTTTTCTCTCTTTTATCTTTGTAAGTATATCATTCTGTTATGTTTTATGTTATGTTTTATGCAATGTATATTTAGAATTGTAGCAGTAAGAAGTTACTGTAACCTATAACTGTATACTTTTTTTTCTAACTAAAATATGTTTTACTAGATCTTGCCATCCCAGATATAAATTACACACTTTTGCCAGTGGTCAATTTATTATTGAGCAGGAATCTCTTCAGCCTAAAACCGAAAATGTTTGTACTGGACACAAATGTCCATACTTATGTGTACCAGCAGAAACAGGTTATAGATGTCTTTGTCACGACGGGAAAGTTAGTAATCATTCAGAAATTTGTGGTGAAAATGATGTAAGTATAGTTTTGCAATAATTAGATATTTAGTACATGATATCAATATTATTATGTTAATTAGACTTATTTATAAAATATCTAAATTAGTTATGTAGGAAAATTTAAAAGGCTTGTTGGTTCAAACTAACTAAAAATAGAAAGATTATTACAATTTGGAAGAAATGAGCGGACATTTTTCTTTAAAGAATATTCAACGATTCTAAATGGATCTACGACTTAAACTAGAATACGCTGGTGTATCGGATCGACCATTATATTAATTTTCAGATATAATAATAAACCAGATAGTGCTGGATGAAAAGGAGAAAATTAATATATGGGAAAATTATATCCAGGAGCTCTTCCATGACGAAAGACCCATGAGCAAAGTTTATACAGACGACCAGCTGACTGGCCCTTTAATCACCAAAGAAGAGATGGAAAAGGCAACATTAAATTTAAAAAAACAATAAATCACCTGGACCAGATGAAATCCCGTCAGAAATACTTAAATTACTAGATGAAAGGGGAATTTCAGCACTACACAAAATATTTAACTTAATTTATGAAACTGGCTGCTATCCTTAACAGTGGTTACGCTCTACCTTTATTCAAGAAAGTCAATACAAAAAGATGTGAGGATCACAGACTCATTAGTCTGATGAGTCACACTTAAAAGATATTCTTAAAAATACTACATCAAAGATTATACAAAAAATGTGAATGTGATTACCAAAAAGCAAAGTGTTTGATCGTGTCCAACCCCACAAGTTATTGCAGATCCTCAAGAAAGTTGATATAGACCAAGAATACATAAGATGCATTGAAAACTTGTACTGGCATCAAACGGCACAGTTAAAAATAGACAATTCTATATCCAAACCCATACATATAAGAAGGGGCGTTCAACAGGGATGTTGAACTTGATGGGGATGCTTTCCCCTCATTTATTCGGAAGCTATATTTCAAGAGTCTTTGGAGGATGCCAAGATGGGAAGCAAAGTGAATGGAGTATTGATCAACAACATACGATATGCTGATGATGGTGTCTTAATTAGTGACAACATAGGCGATCTTTAACAACTTGTCACTATAATCGGAGAATACAGTAAGCGAATGGGATTAGAGATTAAATACCAAATAAACCAAATTTATGATCATCTCCAAAAACTTGGATGCACTTGAAAACTACACCATAACACTGAATACTAAGTCCATTGAAAGAGTGAGTAAATTTAAATACTTGGATCGTGGCTTTTTGAAGACTGGGCATCAGACAGGGAAGTAAAATGTCGCATTGAGCAAGCTCGACAAGCTTTCGTAAAATTCAAGAAGGTACTGACCTGTTCAGAGTTCGATCTTCAGCTAAGACTAAGGTTTACTAAGTGCTACGTGTGGTTAGTGCTGTTATATGGCGTAGAGGGCTGGACACTCAAAACGAGGGATATAAACAGATTAGAAGCTTTCGAAATGTGGCTATATCGCCGTATCCTAAAAATACCATGGACAGCGAAAATCACAAATATAGATGTCCTTAAAAGAATAAACCAAGAACGCCAACTTTTCGAAACCATCAAGAAAAGGAAAACGGCTTATCTAGGTCACATCATGCGAAATGAAAAATACCAGTTTCTCCAACTTATAATTGAGGGTAAAATTGAAGGCAAGAGAGGAATGGGATGCAAGAAAATGTCCTGGCTCCGAAACATAAGACAATGGACAGGGATTAACGACATACAATCCCTGATACATATTGCAAGAAATAGAGAAAAAATGGAAAATGTGATCGCTAACATCCATTAGTGGATTTGCATCTGAAGAAGAAGAAGAAGTCCATCAAACTCTAAAGAAGAGCGATATTTTCAGGAGCCTTAACTTGCACTGTCTGAAGAAAGGTTTTTCTAAATTTACGCTATCTTCTTGATATTTTATACGCGGGTTATGGAATCTGCAAGTCCCATCTCGTTATATAGATTCGTGGTCGGTTTCATGCATCTTATTATCCTCTATGTTTTATTTAGTGTCAAATATACAGTCAAGAAACATAGTACCTGTGTTGTTGTTTTTAACTTAACAGAACAAAAGACTGAGCCAGAGTCACTCCAAAATATTGAGTGTCTGTATATATTTCCATTGTCATTCTCTCACAATTCTCTTTACCTTGATCCCTATGCAGGATCGGCTTCCTTAAATACATTTCTTCATATACCCCTTATTATATTTCCAGCTTCCCTAAGATTCTATTTTGTGTCATAGCAATGTCAATTACCTTTACCGACATATCCTGCCTAATCGTCTTACCCAGGTCTTCTTTGGTATTCCTCTCATACTAACGATCTTAACTCATGCTCTCTAATTTGGTAACAATCGGTGCCACTATTAAACTTCCCTTATTATATTCATACTTAATTTTATTCTTTTTTGAGCCTTCACTCATCCATCCAAGAATTTACATTTCCGCTATATCCATACGTTGTTTGTCTTCTTTTTTTACCTACCCAACATTCAGTTTCGTAGTGTGGTATATCATATCATAAGTGATCTTATGGCTATTTTATAGAATTTTCTCTGCAGCTTTGCTGGAATTTTTATGTAACAACGCACTACTCGCTTTCTCTCTTTTCATCAATTCAACCCTAACTCTACTGCATGCATCTCTGTATATCTCCCGATTACTCTGTAATACCAATACTGGGTAATTAAATCTATTACTTTCTACAATCATTTCACCATCCAAAGATCATTTTGTTATTTTATTTTTAGTCGTTTTATTTTTAAATAAACATTTCAAATAAACTCTTTTTGGTCGTAGTATCGCTTTTATTTGATCCAAAACTAATGAGAATAAATAAGAACCAAGCACCAAGCTTCGGTGCAATCCTACTTTTACATAAAATATATCAGTCTTTCCCACACCTTTTCTCAGCTCTATTCATACTTAAGCTATCGATTAGATGATGTAGATCATCTATACTTGATGCAATGGTCACAGTGCAATCTGTATATCATAATTTGTTAATTAATTTTCCGTTAACGGTAACTCTCACTTTGATAATATTGAGCATGTTTTTAAAAATTTTTCAGAATATAAGTTGAATAAAACTGGCGATAAAACGCATCTCCGTCTAACTCCTCTACAGATTTTAATTTCTTCTGACTATTGCCCATCAATTTGAACTATGGCACTTTGGTTCCAATATAATTACCAGTATTCACATGTATTGATATTAATTTTTCATGTCTTACTCTATCAAAAGCTTTTTCAAAGTCAAGAAAACACAACAACATTTATATCCCGACATCACTGAATCAGTAGGTTGTTCTCGAGTACCCATTTTTTTTTCAGAACCCGAACTGCGTCTCACTAATATACTCCTTTAACTTTTCTCTTGTGTATTAATTTAAGCAGTACTTTTAAAGTTTAACTCATGGGGGTCAGTGTTCGATAGTCGAAGCACTCTTTTGCTGCATGTTTTTTAAAGGTTGGGTATAAACAATGACTTAAGCTAGTCTTGTGTTATTATGCCCGTATCGTACACAATGTTGAACAAATCTCCCAATACTTTGAAGTTATCCTCTTCCACTGGTTTTAACAGTTCTACTGGTATTCCATCTAATCTAGCTGCTTTATTGTCTTTATCAATCGTGATTTTCTGTCTCTAAAGGATGTAATTCTTATATCCCAGCATTTCATCTTTTGGAAAAGTTCTCTAACGTACTCCTCTCATCTTCTTAATTTCTTGGATAAATCTAGTAGCAGTACAATTTTTTTATCGTTGATGTGTCCTTGTTGTCTTTTTTGACCTATCCCGGTCACTTATTTAATTTTTTTGTGCATATTTCTCAGATTATATTTTGTTTATAGTTTTTCTATCTCTTTACATTGTTTCATCAAATACATTTTTTAGTTGTTTTGATTTTTTTCTTAATATCTCTGAGTATTTCTTTATACTTGTGTACACCATTTCCTTTATATTTTTTTACTTCTTCCATCTGTAGTATCTTTATTAATTGTGGAGTACCTCAAGGCTCTGTCTTGGGTCCTATCTTTTTCTTGATATATTTTAACGATATAACTAATCTTGACATTAATGGCCGGTTTACTATATATGCAGGTGACACCACAATTTTATGGCAAACCAAGGATTCTACAGTACTGAATAAGACTATTAGTAGTGATATGCAAAAAATTGTAGAGTGGTGCAAAGCGAATCAATTGACATTTAATTTTTCAAAAACTAAATTAATTTCTTTAAGAATGATCTAAACAACATTACTCTGGGCAATGAAGGCATTTGTTCTGATACCGTAAACAAATTTTTAGGTCTCTATATTGATAATAAACTTAAATTTGAGCAACACACTGTATATTTAAGCAAAAAGATATCATCGGGTTGCTTTGCGGTCAAATCAGTTGCTCACCATTTAGATTTCAAGATTGCAAAAAGTGTTTATGTGGCCCTGATTGAATCAAATTTGAGATACGGTATTGCCTTTTGGGGTAGCTGTTCTCTTCATCATTTCAGTAGAAACTTTATGCTACAAAAGAGAGCACTCAGATATTTATGCAAGGTCAAGTTTGGTACATCATGTAGGACTCTGTTCCGAAAACATGGTATCTTGACACTTCCTTGCATATATATCCTTGAATTAGCGTGCTTAATTAAAAAAAAAAAAAAACATAAAGAGGATATTCGGACAGTTTCTCCTTATAATACTCGTCTAAATTATGTTTTTCCACTTCCAATTCCCTCTTCTACATTAAATAAAAAATCATTTATTTACACTGGTAAGAAGGTGTTTAATCACCTACCACTCGATATAAGATCCTCAAGCAATATTTTTGTATTCCGAAGAGCAATCAAGAAGTTTTTATTATCTAAATGTTATTATAGTATAGAGGAATTTTTTGAGAACAGTTGCGCTAATTGATATATATTTTTTAAGCATAGAAATTTTATAATTAGTATTTTAATATATCTTGTACCTTGTTTGTACTATACTATGTTGTGTTTTAT